TTTTTTTGTCTTGTCTGGTAGCTTTAGTGGTCTGCTGAAGCCAGCTCAGACTGGCTCTGGAGAGCCTATAGTTAACATCTCTTCCTCACTCCCTGTTCAATGATGCCACCTTGATAGCCTGAAATCAGCCATCCTGCGAGTTTTCACACCATGGAAATCAGACAATGCCATAAATCAGGAATTCCCACCCACCTACCTCTAATCCCCACCCCTGCAAGGGCCGGTGGTTAAGCATTTACCAGCACACCGCTGACTGGCATTTAAATGCCAAGAAAAGTAGCTTTCTCAAGGCTATGTGCCAAGGACTTTTCTCAAGTTGCCCCAAACTATACGTTTCTCAATTGCCACATCTTATAACATGCATATTGTTTCCATGACATTAGTTGGAGTTTGGAGTTGGAAAAGTCCAGATGAATTTTCTTCATTTACTGAGCTCAGAAGCCACCCAAATCATCACCATTCACTGTCTAAACACTACAGTGTGGACAAGTGCTCAGACGCGTGGCTCAGGACTGCCTATTGGTTTCAAGGGATGGAGTGGCCAGATTTTTGAAGAAAACACTCTACTTGAACCTAAAGTGCTTTCAGATGACTGCAAGGTAAGGGAACGGCACTTTTAGAATTGTTCAATCTAACTAACTGAAAATTGATGAAACTATAAAATTAAAATAATGAGAATAAGACTTTAATTACAAACTGCTGATACAGAAGTGTAGCAGGTGTTAATTTTCTGATTTATAATAACCCTATATTTTTTAAAATCAGTCAATTGCTTGTGTCAAGGTGTCAAGTCTTGTCAACTTTAGTCACATCCATTAGTCATCCATAGATTAAAATAGGTGTTAATACATAAATTTAACTTTTAATTTTTATTTCCTATATGAGATAATTATATCATAGATAGATAGATAGATAGATTGATTGATTGATTGCTAATAGATAATAGGTAGATAGATGATAGATAGGGCACATAGATAAATAGATTTCTTTTATATATTTCACCACTGTGCTTCTACATCTCATTACTTCGTGGAAACACAGGTTATAAAGGCAAGTCAGTTTTACTTCATTTTTTCAGTTTCTATACCTGATATCAAATATGGGCATAATTGCCGATTAACTGGCCCTACCAATCAATATTTGAATTATAGCCTTTTTTAACTAAAAATAAATAATGAACGTTATGAAAATTCTATAATTTTAAAATATTTTGTTATAGAGCAGATATGAACAAACTACAGTTTACAGACCAAATTCAGCCCACCACTTGTTTTTGTAAATAAATATTGGAATACAGCCATACTCCTTTGTTTATTTATTATCTACTAGAGTCCCAGTGCACGGTTCATGCACTGGTGGATCCCTTGGCCTGGCCTGCGCCCTCTTGCAACCCAGGACCCCTCGGGGGATGCTGGATAGCCAGTTTCAGCCTGATTCCTGCAGGCCCAATCCAGACAGGAGGGAGCCCAATCCTGTGCATTGAGCATCTGTCCCCTGATGGTCAGTGTGCATCATAGTGGCCACTCGGCCAATCATTTGGTCGTTTGGTTGCTTAGGCTTTCATTGATAGATAGATAAATAGATAGATAAATAGATAGATAGATAGATGGATAGATAGATAGATAGATAGATAAATGATAGATAGATAGGTAGATACCTGTTATCATACTACAATAGCAGAATTGAGTAAATGCAACAGAACCTACAACATTTATTATCTAGCCCTTTACAAAAGAGTTTGCCAACTCCTGTTACAGGGAATAGAGTTGTCTGCTTTACATACATATTACTAATGACTTTAAGTGTTTGTATTGTGTACTGTGAAGCCCATAATTTGATACCTGTTACAATTTCCAGGGAACACTACATTTTCATAACATTTCCAGATAAGTAGTGCATGAGTATTTGAAAAATCATAGACAAACAGTCAGAAGTGTATGGCCCATTCTGTATCAGTGAAGAGATCAATGTTACCAACAAATTCATTTAACTTTTACAATTTTGTCCAGAAAACTTCAGGGACTCACTACTACCTCTGAGTCACAATCCAAACTTATCAGCTCTTTATTCAGCACTTAGAACAGTCAGTCCCAACCTACATTTCCAGCTTGGGCTTTCACTCGCTGTCTACCCTAAACTATGGCCAACTGATCTATTCATCATCATCATCATCATCATATCAACAATTCCTACTTATTGGGGGCTTATTATATGGCAGGTACCATGTAACACATACATTATTTTATTTAATTATAACAGCTTTGTGAAAAAATTATTAGTCTCATTTTCTAGCTAAGAAAGCAAAGGCAGAGATCATGCAGCTAATGCCACACTATACTGGTAGGGATTTTTAATCAAAATATCATTTAATTCTCACAATCCTGTGAGGTAGTTTTTTATTATCCCCATTTTATATGTGAAGAAATGGTGGTACCTGGCTTTCTATTACTATCTCTTCCAGGACAAAATCTGTGCACTTAATCCCATGTTAGGATTACTTTTACAATCACCTTCTACTTTTCCAGTTGTTTTAATTGTTGTTTTGTTTTGTTTTGCTCATGTCATTTCCTTCCTCTGAATGCCCTCCTCTGTCTCTCCACCAGATGGAAATTTTAGGCATACAAAACAGCCCATCTTAAATTCTGAATTCATGAAGCTTTCCCTGACTACTCCAGTTGGAAGTGAGGAATTTAGTCCTCATTGTACATTTTTATACTGCACTTAACCATGTATGGTCTTGTATTATGGCTATTTGTTTATGTTTTTCCTCTCACCACCTAGATTTATAAGCTGGTAAAATTCAGAAGCCAGACTAATTTATTCATCTTTATATTTCTCAAGCACTGTAAGAAAATAGAGGATCACATCTTATTCAACTGTACAAATATACTTAGTATTCAATAAATATTGCTTAAAAGGTTTAATAAGTTAAATCTGTCAATGTCTTACATACCAAACTCTAATTCTAGTTATCACATCTATCTTATGACTTTAGTAATTTACCTTCTGTAAGCTTCAATTGCCTTAAGTTAAATCATCTCTAAAGTTCCTGCAAATTTTAAAATTTATACCATGATAATTTGGTGAATAAGTAAGTGAATAAACTCCTGAATAAAAAGCTTCACTGAACTAGTCAATTTTGTTTCTCTATTTTGTTTCATTGAATCTTAATAATAGGCTATTTAATGGTATTTTTGTTCAATAATAGAATTTATCAGAAACCAAAGAGCATATAGTAATAATAAAAACAGAAAGTCCTAGAAGGAAGAGAGGAAAGAAACTATATGAATAGTAACCACAGAATGGGGGAGCGGGGAGCAGAAACTTAAAAGAAAATTTAACAGAATTATAATTTACTCCTGACTGAAACAATTCTGGTTATTGTCTGCCTAAAGTACATAAGAGTTGAAAAGAGGATAACTCATTTCCTTTCATTCAAGAAAAATGCCCATCCTAAAGCATTAGTCCCAAATAAAGGAATACAGACAAGATGAATATTAATTATATCAGAAATAGCACAGACTTCTATTTTTTATCTGGTTTAATAATTCACAAACAACAGAAGCAGAAGGCTAAACTTAACCTCTAAGACTGGAAAATCAGAATACACAATGTAATTTAGAGAAAGGAATAAGTCCATGTTTTCAATTATTCATAGTAACCGTACCATTTATTGAGCACTTTGTGCCAGGCATTGTTCTACACACTTTCTATTTATTATCTCTAATCCTCAAAATAAGCCTACTTTGTCTATGAAAAATTGGCTGCTTAGAATGACTTCTAAAGAAACAATTACATATTAAAGCATTTTGTTCTTATTTTACAGATTCAAGATGGCAGGTGGCATAAGGCAAAATTCCTTTTTCACACCCAGGACCCTAATCAACTTCCAGTAATTGAAGTACAAAAACTTCCTCATCTCAAAGCTGAACGGAAGTACTACATTGAAAGCAGTGCTGTGTGCTTTCTCTAAGGTCTCTGAATTAGTTCTGAATTCATGCTGTTGGCCAGGTAATTGCTGCAGAGGGGAAAATATAGACAGACAGATACTATCATTATGAAATGCATGGAATAAAGCATTGGCTAAATCATAAAGAATCTCAGGAAGAAAAGACTTTCTCCTAAAAGGGAGAAAAGTCATTCTTTAAAGGACTATAATTGATAAAGTATTTAATTTTTTAAAAAAATTATATTGATCTGAGCTTTCTTAGAGAATTCCCTAGAACTGAAGATTTATAAACATGGAATTCTTCAGGGTAGCCTCTATTTTTTGACTGAGAGCAAAGTACCCATTAGACAGCTGGAGGTGCAGAGCACTAGGGAGCAATACTGGCTAATGCTCCCAAATGTGCAATGCTTCTGTCTAAAATTATAAACCACAGTGTAATATGTCTTATTTTCCCAAATACTAAGCTGTATTCAGGTCCCCAGTGGGCATATACATCTTAGCCGGTGGTACACTACCTCTTACGTGTTGCCTTTTTGTGTTGCTTGGTGCTCTTTCTGAAACAAGGTGCTTGTGGCTTTTGTAGACAAGCTTATTTCTATGTCTTTGTCATCCTTTAAGAGTATATGTACTGGTTACATCAAGATCTGTTTTGGTTGTTAGTACTTATTTTAATTTGTTTGATCACATATTAACAGGTAAAACATTATTTATGTGAAGTCATTGTTCTATTTTAAAATTCTCTTTGTGGATAGGAATCAAAGCCAGTACATTGTAACCTGTGCTTATCACAAGAGAATTGGGAAGTTTCTTTTGTTCTTGTTTTATTTTTTTAGTTGTAAAAAATTGTTATAGGCCAGCTACATCCAGTAGTAGGTTTGGGTTAGAGTTTGGGGGTTGTGATATACTATTTTTAAAAACCCATGATCATCTGGAATGATACTTTATGTATATATATTTTGTAAAGTTTTAATTCAGCAAATCTTTTGAAATTGCTGCTGTTTTAAATTATAAAAACTTTATATTTCTGCTTTATAGAAATTATATATTTTGTAGTATTCTTTGATTTTCTTTTACTGTTCTTAAGTTTCATGTGTTGGGACCTAAAAGAATTCAACTTACTAGGCTTTAAAGCAACATCCAGGAAAAAGTAACACAGTCTTTTGCCATTTAAAATAGACTCAGCCAATTTAGACTTCCCTTGTTGGCAGAGAAATGTTAGTTCAATATGAAAAGAAAAATATTATACTTTTGGTATATAGAAAAGCTTGTACATATGTTATAAGCATAGCTTTAGCCACAGCAAACCACAATTACCTATCTATAATAAAAATGTGCTTTAAATCTTTTTTGGTGATATTTGTTTTTCTCCTTTTGTTGCTATATCCTTGTATAATGTATGATAGCACTTCTGACATAGCTCTTCTCCACAATATATGTTTACATTATTAGAAAGTATGTGCTATAGCCCAGCTGGCATGGCTCAGTGGTTGAGCATCAACCTATGAACCAGGAGATCACAGTTTGATTCCTGGTCAGGTCACATGCCTAGGTTGTAGGCTAAATCCCCAGTGTGGAGCATGCAGGAGGCAGCCATCAATGATTCTCTCTCATCATTGATGTTTCTATCTCTCTCTCCCTCTCCCTTTCTCTCTGAAATCAATAAAATTATATTTTTAAAAAGTATCTGTTACATACCTGTAAAAGGATTATAGGGCCTAGTTCTTATTTGTACAAAATGGGGTATGGCACTGAAATAGACTCTCCCATATATGGTCAATTGATTTTCAACAAGGGTGCAAATACCATTTAATGAGAAAGAACAGGTTTTCTTAAACAAATGCTCCTAGAAAATGGATTCCCATATTCAAAAGATTGAAATTGAACCCTTGCCTTAAGTAATATTCAAAAATAACTCAAAATGGATCAGAGTCCTAAGTGTAAGAGCTAAAACTATAAAACTCTTAGAAGAAGACATAGGGAAAAGGCTTCATGACATTGGACTTGTCAATGACTTCTTAGAGATGACATCAAAAGCACAATCAACAACAAAGAAAAGGGTAAAGCCTCATATATTAAAAGCTTTTGTTCATCAAAGGACACTATCAAGAGAGTGAAAAAACATTCCACTGATGGGAGAAAATATTTTCAACTCATATATCTGATAAGGGAGTAACATATATAATATAAAAAGAACTCCTACAACTCATAAAAACAAAAGTAGCCCAATTAAAAAATGGGAAAGAACTTGACATTTCTATAAAGTATAGATCCTATCTAATAATAGAGAAACATGGTAATTAGCCATACCTCCGCTACCCTGCCCATTGGCTAATCAGCAGGATATGCAAATTAACTGCCAACCAAGATGGCGGCCAGCAGCCAGGCAGCTTGAAGCGAACAGGAGGCTTGCTTGCTTCAGTGACGGGGGAAACCAACGTTCCCCGCCTGCCTTGCTGGCCTCTGAGCTTGCAGTTTAAGAAACATTTGTTACAAATATAGAAGCTAAACAAAACCCCAGAAACCTGCTTTCAGCTGGCTGGGCTTCAGCCAGCAAGACTTCAACATTGTTTAAATTATAGAACAAACGCAGATCCCTGCTTTCAGCCAGCTGGGATCTCAGAGCTGGAGTGAGCAGGACTGCAACAGTGTTACAATTATAGAACTCAAACAAACCAGATACCTGCTTTCGGCAGCTGAGGCCTAAGAGCTAGAGCCAAGCCTCAGAGCTAAATCTGGCCCACAATAAAAAAAAGAAAAAAAGGACAGTTTGGGAGCTTCAGTCACCCACCAGCCTGAAAACGGCCCTCAGCCCCTCACCCAGGCTGGCCAGGCACCCCAGTGGGGACCCCCACCCTGAAGGGGTGTGACCAGCTCCAAACAGCCATCATCCTCTCATCCAGGCTGGCCTGGCACCCCAGTGGAGGCCCCCACCCTGAAGGGTGTGACCAGCTGCAAACAGCCATCATCCCCTCACCCAGGCTGGCCAGGCACCCCACTGGGGACCCCCACCCTGATGGGTATGGTGTGGAGTGGAGCCACAAGTCCTCCTGGCCCCTGGAGCAGAGTGACAGGGGGCAGCGCCCAAACCCCCTGATTGCCCTGCGGCTCTGTGTGTGACAGGAGATGGGGCCACAACCTCCCTATCCGCCCTGCTCTGTTCATGACAGGGGAAGGCGCCCCAACCCCCTGATCGGCCCTGCTCTGTGTGTGACAGGGTACAGCGCCCCAACCCTCTCCCCCAACGGGCCCTGTTCTGTGTGTGACAGGGTAGTCATAACCTCCCCATCGGTCCTGCCCTGTGTGTGACAGTGGCGGCACCCCAACCCCCTGATCCGCCCTGCTCTGTGTGTGACGGGGGGGCGTCCCAACTCCCCTATTGGCCCTACTCTGTGAGTGACGGGGGGAGCTCCTCAACCCCCTGATCGGCCCTGCTCTGTGTGTGACAGGGTACAGAGCCCCAACCCCCGTGATGGGCCCTACTCTGTGCATGACAGGGGGTGGCACCGCAACCTCCCTATCGACCCTGCATTGAGTGTGACGGGGGCAGCGCCCCAACCCCCCAATCGGCCCTACCCTGAGCGTGATTGAGGGTGGCATCGCAACCTCCCGATCTGCCCTGCTCTGTGCATGACAGGGGGCGGCGCCCCAACTCCCCAATCAGCCCTGCTCTGAGCCCGACCAGGGGTTGCACCTAGGGATTGGGCCTGCCCTCTGCCACCCGGGAGCAGGCTTAAGCCAGCAGGTCATTATCTCCTGAGCGGTCCCAGACTGTGAGAGGGCACAGGCCGGGCTGAGGGACCCCCTCTCCCCGCCGAGTGCACAAATTTTTGTGCACAGGGCCTCTAGTATATATATAAAAGGCCATCAAATCAAAACCATAGTGGCATACTACTTTATACACATGAGAATAACTATTATCCAAAAAAAAAGAATGAAAATTACAACTGTTGGTGAAGATGTGGAGAAATTGGAACCTTGTACCTTGCTGGTAGGAATATAAAATGGTGCAGCCACTGGAGAAAATAATTTGGCAGTTTTTCAAAATTTAAACATAGAATTTCCATATGATCTAGAAATTCTACTTCATTTATATATACCCAAAAGAATTTAAAGAAAAAGGACTCAAACAGATATTTGTACACCCATGTTTAAAGAGGTATTAATCAGAATAACCAAAAGGTGAAAACAACCCAAATGTGCATCAAGAGATGAAGTGATAAACAGATATGGTGTGTACATACAATGAAACACTGTATGGAACATTGATATAACTTGAAAACATGTTATGTTAAATAAGCCATACAAAAAAGGACAAATATTGAATAATTCCATGTATTTGAAGTGCCATGGATAAATACTTGAAAGACAGAAAAAACAATAGAGGTAATGAGAGGCTGGATGAGGTGGAATTAGGGAATTATTTTTTAACCAGAGGCCCGAAGCATGAAATTGTGCATGGGAGGGTCCCCTCAGCCCAGCCTGCACCTCTCATAATCCGGGACCGCTGGCTCCTAACTCCTCACCTGCCTATCTGCCTGATTGTCCCTAACTGCGCCCCCTGCCAGCCTGATCACCCCTAACTGCCTCTGCCTGCCTGCCTGGTCTCCCCTCATTGCACCCCTACCAACCTGGTCACCCCCAACTGCCCCCCCTGCCGGCCTGGTCACCCCACACAGCCTGCTGTTCAGTTGTTTGGTCATCCCTCACTACCCGCCCCTACCAGCCTTGTCACCCCATGCAGCCTACTGTTCGGTTGTCCGTCCTATTGTTTCGGTCATGGCGGCCCCTGGCTTTTTATATATTAGGATGACTACAGAGTTTCTGTTTGGGCTGATGACAAAGTTCTGGAGATGGATGGTAATGATGGTTTCACAAAAATAAGAATGTACTTACTCCGACTGTACTATATACTTTAAATGTGTAAAATGACCAATTTATTATTGTATATCTTTGCCACAATTTTTTAAATGGGGCTATTGTAATAATGTCTGATTTCCTGATGGGGGACCACAAAAATGTTTTTAAAACAGAGCAGAGGGAGATTCTAAATGGAAAAGCAAAACAAACAAACAAAAATATGCCCCTTACCCTGACTGGTTTGGCTCAGTGGATAGAGCATTGGCCTGCGGACTGAAGGGTCCTGGGTTTGATTCCGGTCAAGGACACATGCCCAGGTTGCCGACTTGATCCCCAGTGGGGCATGCAGGAAGCAGCTGATCAATGATTCTCTCTCATCGATGTTTCGATCTCTCTCTCCCTCTCCCTTTCTCTCTGAAATCAATAAAAATAAATAAAAGAAAATTATTTTAAAATAATAAAAATAAATGGGGAAAAAAGCATAATTTATACTCTAGTTTCGGTTTACATGCTGTACCTTCGTGGCCCCTCGCCCCGAAAAAAAACTTATTTTAGAGACATAAATTATTTTCCTAGATATACCTAAGAAAAAAATATATATATAATGGAAACACTATGCTTTATATTTGTTTTAGTGTTCCCAAAATATTCAATTTAAAGCATATTTTAATCAACTTAAATATAGGCAGTATAGAATAGTAATTGAGTGCTCAGAGGAGTAGCTGTGTGACTTTGGGGTATATTTTATATTCATTATTGCCTCAGTTTCTTCATTGTAAAATGGAGATAATAAAAGTTCAAGAAGAAAATGGCAGCCAAATAGGCAGACGGATCATGCACCTTAACAAATCAGACACAATTGAAGAGACAGTTTTCAACAAGGAAGGACCAAGAATGCCTGGAGAATGGTAGGAGTGGAAATCTGGGCTGGAGAGGGATACCTGGCCTCCTGGCCTCCAAGAGGGCAAGGTGGAAGCTGCATTGCACCAAAGCCTCATCCCTTGGCGACAGGAGTAACACCCAACTGTGAAAAGGAAAAGGCACAGGGGTGCTGGCACCCTGGGAATCTACTCCTAAGACCACGGCTGCAAAAGCTGCGCCCTGAAAGGCTGCCTGGAGCATGCCCAGGCAGCTGGAGAGAAACCCACAGTTTCGTGGTTGTTTTGTCTTTGCTTTTATTCTCCAAACCCAGAAGATAGGACTTTTCAGTTGCAAAAACTCACCGAGGCTGCGGTGCAGGGAGAGGCATAGATTTGTGGAGCCTAAGGAGAGGCTGGGGAGGGAAGCAGGACAGGGAGACATGCCCAGAAATCCCTCACTGAGACATTTGTAACCTTCCAAACCTAAGCATCCATTACTCTCCTGAGAGCTAGCCCCTCTCAGTAGCCTCAAGGCAGGGAATACAGCCTGCCACACCCTGCCTGCATTTTGAGCTGTACAACAGAAACAAAGGCTCTGAATAGAACCCTCAGTGACTGTATTGGAAGA